AAAGATGCAAAAATATAGAAAGAATAATAGAATATAAATTAAAATAGAAAACCGGCGCCAGATAACTGAGGGTAAACAAAAGTATATTTGTTTAGATAATATCAATCCCGGATACCTTTATATAGTCATAAAAATTCAAATCCGGTAAATATAAAAGAATAAGACTAACTCTCGACCATCGCCAGAATGCAGTCAACATATAAATTAGAAAGAACGTTATCAGTGTGGGAGTAGTTAACAGGTGGAATGCATTAGGCAGTGATGTGGTGGAGGCTGACTTCATACACAGTTTATAATGTAGATATGATAGAGCCCAATAGGCTCAGGAACCTGTACACCTGTTGATTGACAGTTGAGAGGCGGGACCAAAGAGCCAGAGCTCAACCCCCGCCAGCACAACTAGGGAAGAACAGGCGCCTAACTCTCGGGTATACATTTGTTTCCCATCAATAACAACATTGCGTTTTCTTTAACTGAAGAGTTAGAATAAAATTCTTTTGCTCGTAAAGAGGGAATTGATTACCAACTTGGACTGCCTTTGAGCAGCCTGAGGGCAGTAATATCCCAGGAACATCAACTAAATTTCGGAGACTTGAGGCAAAGTGAAATTCACGCCAGTTACTCCATCTATCATCATTCTATTATGCAGGAAGAACCGCACGTCTATGGGTCATCCAATAAATAATAAATAAATAAATAAATATGTTTATTCAGGTAAGGTACATACATACAAGTGATGTTACATTAATGGATTGATATATAGATAGAGCTAGTACATACAATGCCTAAAGCCACTATTACTCAATGCGTTTCGGGCAGGAAAAACATTAATATCTAGAACTTAATACTAATTGAGTATAAAGAATAAAATGTGTTGAGAACAAATACAAATAAAGATAAAAAAAGGGGGAACATGACTGAAAAAGCAGCACAAATACAATAGGTTGACAAACAGTGTTCATTAAAAAAAATAACAGACATGGGTTGGCAATAGAGGAGTGAGGTAGGTTACAGGGAATTTATTAGGTATAGCTTCGTTTTTAACTTAAACTGGTTGAGAGAGGTACAGTCTTTAACATGGTTGGGAAGGTCATTCCACATTCTGGGTCCCTTGATTTGTAGAGCATTTCTAGTTTGATTAAGTCGTACTCTAGGAATATCAAAACTGTATTTATTTCTGGTGTGGTGCTCGTGGGTTCTGTTACAACCTTCTATGAAGCTTTTGAGATCAGGATTGGCATTATGGTTTAGCATTTTATATATGTATAATACACATGAGAGAATGTGCAGTGACTTAATGTCTAACATATTCAGAGATTTGAGTAAGGGTACCGAGTGATGTCTGGGGCCAGAGTTGGATATTGTCCTAATAGCAGCTTTGTGTTGGGTAATTAGAGGACGTAAATGATTTTGGGTAGTAGAGCCCCAAGCACAAATACCATAGTTGAGATATGGATAGATAAGGGAGTAATAGAGAGTCACCAGGGCAGGGCGTGGTACATAATATCTGATCTTAGAAAGAATGCCCACAGTTTTTTTAACTTTTTTTGATATATTTAGAATGTGTTTAGGTAGCTTTATGTGTGTTTAGGTGCTTTATCTCGTTTATGCGTGCCGTATATTCTCCTGCCCGAAACGCTTTGCGTAATAGTGGCTTTAGGCATTGTATGTACTAGCTCTATCTATAAAGCCAACAAACTTTGTAAAATCTCTTTATGTATGTACCTTACCTAAATAAAATTATTAGTATTATTATTATAATATGTTCTCTGTATTCCCTCTATTTCAGCAATCTCTCCTGCTCTGAAGGGGGAAGTGAGTACTGAGCAGTACTCAAGACGGGATGGATATTGAATGGGTTTGTGATCCACTACCACTCAGAATGATGGATGTGTGATCCACTACCACTCAGAATGATGGATGTGTGATCCACTACCACTCAGAATGATGGATGTGTGATCCACTACCACTCAGAATGATGGGTATGGGATCCACTACCACTCAGAATGATGGGTGTGGGATCCACTACCACTCAGAATGATGGGTATGGGATCCACTACCACTCAGAATGATGGGTGTGGGATCCACTACCACTCAGAATGATGGGTATGGGATCCACTACCACTCAGAATGATGGGTGTGGGATCCACTACCACTCAGAATGATGGGTATGGGATCCACTACCACTCAGAATGATGGGTGTGGGATCCACTACCACTCAGAATGATGGGTATGGGATCCACTACCACTCAGAATGATGGGTATGGGATCCACTACCACTCAGAATGATGGGTATGGGATCCACTACCACTCAGAATGATGGGTATGGGATCCACTACCACTCAGAATGATGGGTATGGGATCCACTACCACTCAGAATGATGGGTATGGGATCCACTACCACTCAGAATGATGGGTATGGGATCCACTACCACTCAGAATGATGGGTATGGGATCCACTACCACTCAGAATGATGGGTATGGGATCCACTACCACTCAGAATGATGGGTATGGGATCCACTACCACTCAGAATGATGGGTATGGGATCCACTACCACTCAGAATGATGGGTATGGGATCCACTACCACTCAGAATGATGGGTATGGGATCCACTACCACTCAGAATGATGGGTATGGGATCCACTACCACTCAGAATGATGGGTATGGGATCCACTACCACTCAGAATGATGGGTATGGGATCCACTACCACTCAGAATGATGGGTATGGGATCCACTACCACTCAGAATGATGGGTATGGGATCCACTACCACTCAGAATGATGGGTATGGGATCCACTACCACTCAGAATGATGGGTATGGGATCCACTACCACTCAGAATGATGGGTATGGGATCCACTACCACTCAGAATGATGGGTATGGGATCCACTACCACTCAGAATGATGGGTATGGGATCCACTACCACTCAGAATGATGGGTATGGGATCCACTACCACTCAGAATGATGGGTATGGGATCCACTACCACTCAGAATGATGGGTATGGGATCCACTACCACTCAGAATGATGGGTATGGGATCCACTACCACTCAGAATGATGGGTATGGGATCCACTACCACTCAGAATGATGGGTATGGGATCCACTACCACTCAGAATGATGGGTATGGGATCCACTACCACTCAGAATGATGGGTATGGGATCCACTACCACTCAGAATGATGGGTATGGGATCCACTACCACTCAGAATGATGGGTATGGGATCCACTACCACTCAGAATGATGGGTATGGGATCCACTACCACTTAGAATGATGGGTATGTGATCCACTACCACTCAGAATGATGGGTATGGGATCCACTACCACTCAGAATGATGGGTATGGGATCCACTACCACTCAGAATGATGGGTATGGGATCCACTACCACTCAGAATGATGGGTATGGGATCCACTACCACTCAGAATGATGGGTATGGGATCCACTACCACTCAGAATGATGGGTATGGGATCCACTACCACTCAGAATGATGGGTATGGGATCCACTACCACTCAGAATGATGGGTATGGGATCCACTACCACTCAGAATGATGGGTATGGGATCCACTACCACTCAGAATGATGGGTATGGGATCCACTACCACTCAGGCTTACAGACTAAACTACCCAGAGTTTGCTAGTAAACATTAGCTAGTTCCTGATCAATTCTGTAATCCTTCATATAGAATACAGTAGCAGTATATTACTTTTGTTAAGAAGTAATAACTGTAGGTAATTCTTTATTACCTTACAAAAACTATAAATTATTACCAGATATATGATGTTAGGTTTTGATTCTATAAAGAAATTACCTAAAATAATTCTTACTTTTTATGTTAAAATAAATTATTATATGAAGCCTAAAAGAAATTAATAGAATATTACCTTTTCCTTTAATTATTATATATATTTTAATATTATATAATTAATTTATTTATAAAAAGGTAAGATTAATATTTAATTAAAACAATAAATATAATATTTTGTTAAATAATTTCTACGTGGATGGAGTGTGAGGGCGGACTGAAATACAAGTCATGTTGAAATATAAAGGAAAAGTTTGGTCCCTCTCCACTTTGGTTTATTTATTTATTTATTTATTTATTTATTTATTTATATATATACAAGAAGGTACATTGGGATTGTGAGGATACATAGTATAGAAATTACAGTCTTGTAAAGCCACTAGTACGCGCAGCGTTTCGGGCAGGTCCTTAATCTAAGAAAATTTTAAGTAGGTAAATACTTGCAAAATTGATAACAAATGATAACAGAAAGCAAGAAAAACAATAAAAGATGAGAGAAAATTGTAGGTATATTAAAGCACATAGGTAGCTCAGAGTGATTGCAATGACAGCTTGAATGGTGGTTGACAAAACTTAGCAGGCACAATACAGCATATGGCTAGCACATAAAAGAAGACAGCAATGAACACAATGATAAAGTTGTTTGGGTTAAGTACATAAGGATTGGGAGATTGGGTAACACTAGGTACAGAGCAAATTTAAAGCTCAGTGTAGGAAACAACGAAGATGAAATTAGGTACTTTTTGGCTTTGTTTTTAAATGAGGCAAAAGTTTGACAGCTTTTCAATTCACTCGGGAGTGAGTTCCTGAACCACTCAGCACATGCCTGGCAGTACAGTGTGTGCAGGTTCCAATCCTTACCATGGCTTCTAATCAGAGCTTGTATTGTGATTTGTTGTACTGGAGAAGGTCGGCGTTCAGTCCCGAAATTGGTGTCCAAGAGTTTGGACATCGTTCCTTGCTATGTAGTCGTAGCACCTTGGCGCTTCCCCTCATAGTTCCCTCACATTCCCTGTACTGGAAGTATGGAGGAGGACTATATCTGGAGCAGCACAAGTGGTCATAGTTGGTGGTTCTGCGGAAAGTAGAAGCTGGTCTGCTCTGGCCTCCGTTGCATAACGTTTTGTCGAGGGTGAATCTACCATTCTGTTACCTCAAGAAATGCTCAAGGAATATATATAAAACATATTTTTCCAACATTTATTTAGCAATATCAATACAAAAGAGGGAATGTCTAATTATTTTAATAAATTCCAAGTTCAACATTTGTATATCCTTTAGTACAAAAAAGAAGACCAGGTTAACATTTTCTGCACGTTTATATCCCAGTGGACACAATAACCCAGTGTAATGTTAATTCAACATTAAATCAGCATTATCAACATTAATGAGATTTTAACACTGAATTAACATTGATACAGTAGCATCACTATCAACATTAATTTAACATTATCAATGTTAATTTAACATTGATTCAGCATTACACCGGGTTATTGTGCCCACTGGGATTGTTTATATGTAGTTTATCACAAATATATTCTATTCTATTCACACTTCCCCACCAAACACCAGTACAAAGGTATAAAAATAAGATAGAAAACACTGTACCTAACTTCTGCCTACAAGAACACTGTTGTACAGTAAATTATTAGACTTCGTCACAATGTTTGCAGAACATTAAGAAAACAGTACAGGAGTAGAGCTGCACACATCAACAGGCGTTCACAGTACACCCCTTAAGCCTTTCCTATGGTTATACATTACACTCAAGCACAGTATATAAACTGGAGTTTGTAGATCCTCCAAAATTTCAGCTTATGAAGCCTGAACACGTCTGTCATACAAGCCTTGAGGGGTGAGAAAGCTCTGCGTCATGCATCACATGGTCCTAACTGCAGCAAATGGATGTCCACCAGAAAATATTGTATAGCACCTTCAGCCAGACATGGCCCAGAGAATAAACCACTGAAGAAGCATTCGAGGGGTAGCAAAGAGGAAGCAAAGTGATCAAGCAGACACAAGAAGAGAATTAAAAACAGTCAGCAGGCAGGTACAGCGAGCTACACAGAAATTCAAACATGCATCTCGCATGAGTATCCACTGCTGCAAATGGCAGAACACGAGGCAGAAGACGAGAAGTTCGCAGCCGCAGAGCCAACATTGACTCACAACTGCACCGAGAACACCTAAACTCCAAAGAAGAAGAAACCTCTCCCACTTGGGTGTACCAAAGATACCCTGCTCGCCCTGAGCTGTCAGTATGTGGCAACTGGGTGTTTCAGGGCCGGGATGTTCACCCCATGTCAATAATTGCTTTCCTTTCCTCAGGACAACCAATTTCATACAAGCAGTTGCTTGTTCTGATGCACTTTATCTCCAGTTTCGGGTTTGTCCCCAAACTTCCCCGCGTCTCGTAGAGAGCCAGATTCTAATCCAAACCCTAAAGGTAGAGAGGAGAGTGACCCAGAGTGACTCCAAGAGTCTGTTCAATTCTCCCCAAAATTTATCACCTCCAGTGTTATAGTGTGTGGAAATACTAAGAGGCACTTATAGAAATGACTGCGGAACAAACTAAAACATCTCTGGCTCAGAAAACCATGTTGCCCTGTAAATAACATACTTTAAATAGTGTAATGTGTTGATCAGTATCCAACCATCCATCCATATTGACGTGTTCTGCCATCTGATATTTCAATAGTACGGTAATTAAGAAATGTGTGCAGTATTTTAAACCATCATGCATGAAATTTATACTGAATGTATGCGTGTGAAGTTGTTAATAAGTGCATTTTTCACTTCCTAAACATTCTAAATGCTGACAACACATTCAGAGTAGCTTTATAATATATGAATCAGGCTCTTACAAAATAACTGTAATGCAAAATTTCATAGCAGTCTCAACGTAGACTATTTACGACCCAAGATCACATTCACTCCAAACATCTACCATTTATGGGCTACTCATGCCCGTGCCACCTCTTGGGTGGCTTAATCTTCATCAATTAATAAGTCAATTAGGTTAGACATCTATAACTTTTATCACACACACATGTAGCTGCAAATTTAGTCACTTAAATATCCACAAGCTGCCTAATGACATCACCTTATCAACGCTGTGACTTCCCAAACCATCCCAGCCCCAAAACGATTAGCTTTACACCCATATAATAAGTTTCCTTGGTATACACTATCATCTGTGTGTATACCAATCCCCACAAATCATTGGAAGACACTAAAACGCTGCTTCAAATCCCCACATTGCTCCAAATCGTTTCCTCATGAGTAGCAGCAGCTCAAGATAGATTCACTACATCTATAGTAATATAACACATATAGAAACAATGCAGCAACAAAGAGAATACAACAGCATACACAATACAACAGCACATAGAAAAATTTCAATCATGTCAAAATAGCATCAGTCTCAAACCATTCAACAAGTAATAGTGATATTGCATCACAACACTGCAGGGCTACAGAACTACAGTACATCTATTTTACTACATAACTGCGAGCTACAGAACTACAATACATCTATATTACTATGTAACTGTAAATCAAATAGTACTATAGAACCGCAGATCTGCACCACTACAGATATAGTATACACAAATCAGGATGTACACCACTACACAACTAGCAATGTACACTACACAACATGAGATGTACACAACTACGCCAATATGTCATCCTACAAAGAACGTCGCCCGTATAAGGTCAAAAATTGTTGTACGAGAAAATGAAAGCGGGTGGCAAAAGTGACATACTGTTCCGTTTTCTGTTTTTGGGTCCTCTGGTATGTTAGGAGAGGACACATTAAATTTACCGTTTTCTCGGCGTTGGGAAATTTTAGGAGAACGGGCTGGCTACACAACTGGAATGTCCATCACTACACAACAGGGGATGTACACAACTACACCCATGGCAATGTCCACCACTACACAATTGAAGACATACACCATTACACAACTGGTGATGTCCATCTTAACAGCAGCACACTGCACGGCAAATATCCAATAACATATATATAAAATTTATTGATAAAAATTCAACAAGCTAACATTTTAAAATGCATATAATTTATAGTATTTCCAACAAGACGATCAACATTTAAACGAGATATAAACAATAATTATGCAGTGTATTAAAGATACACTGAGCCATCTGCTGTATAAAAATCTCAATGTCAAAAATAATTTTAAATCCTGCTTGTGTTATACTCTTAGAGGTCAACAATTATTAAATGTATATAGCTTTGAAACAATTAACAACAGTCAACGAGGCCATTCAAGGACCCCTCACAGAAAATCCTTTTCAATTGCTAATGATACTTGAAGTTTTCGTCTGGTGGTTGTGATTTACTTCGCCGCAAATCCTTTCTTTTGCTCGACGACGTAGGTCTTGCGGGCCTCCATGTCGTCAGCGGGGCGATTGTATGGCGTCCAGATGGGCTCGCCAACAAACAGTCTCATAGCCTTGATGTAGTTCTGAAAATACAAGACCTTGTTACTTGGTGCACAGAGATACAAAGTGCCCCATCACTTTGAGGTTCGTACGTCAAGATTCTGATGATCTTCGCTGCATGGGAGACAGCTTCCAACCGAAGCAAATATTCTCATTTCATCCAGCTTAAAGTCACTTTCCACAGCAGCTTACAGAAACTCTTATGTTGCCTGGTTTTGTCTTACAGAAAGATAAAAACACAATAAAAATCATCAAAATCAACACCATCACAAACGTAAATGATTCTAATCAGAATATCAACACTGTCATTTCTATTATCGATATGGTGGGAAAATGCCAGTGGGAGGTTGATGAAGAAGGGAGCAGTGACCAGGACGGACTCTGGGTATAAGCAGTGACCAGGACGGACTCTGGGTATAAGCAGTGACCAGGACGGACTCTGGCTATAAGCAGTGTCCAGGACGGACTCTGGCTATAAGCAGTGACCAGGACGGACTCTGGCTATAAGCAGTGACCAGGACGGACTCTGGCTATAAGCAGTGTCCAGGACGGACTCTGGCTATAAGCAGTGTCCAGGACGGACTCTGGCTATAAGCAGTGTCCAGGACAGACTCTGGCTATAAGCAGTGTCCAGGACGGACTCTGGCTATAAGCAGTGACCAGGACGGACTCTGGCTATAAGCAGTGACCAGGACGGACTCTGGCTATAAGCAGTGACCAGGGAGGAATGTGACTCTGGCATTAATTGTGAGTGGACATCGGCTCTGTCAATAATTGTCAAAAATTTGCAAAAACACAAGCAAGAGTCAGATGCAATGGACTTTTGGATTTACCAGAATCTACCTGAAGGCCTATAACACTTTAGTGGCCCCCGATGAGGACAAGAAGCCGGCAGCATCACAAAGTTCCCCTTTATTATTATTATTATTTATCCTGGTGATTTTATTCAAGCTGGAATTTAAAATTCAACAGCATTTTGGCATTTATGGCTTCAGTGGGTAGGTGGTTCCATGGGTTAATAACCCTGTGGGTGAAAAAGTATCTCCTGTTTTCAGTCCTGCATTGTGACTTATTGAGCTTGTCACTGTTGTTCCTTGTTTGTGTTACATTGTGGCTTGTTGAGCTTGTCACTGTTGTTCCTTGTTTGTGTTACATTGTGGCTTGTTGAGCTTGTCACTGTTGTTCCTTGTTTGTGTTACATTGTGGCTTGTTGAACTTGACACTGTTGTTCCTTGTTTGTGTTACATTGTGGCTTGTTGAGCTTGTCACTGTTGTTCCTTGTTTGTGTTACATTGTGGCTTGTTGAGATTGACACTGTTGTTCCTTGTTTGTGTTACATGGTGGCTTGTTGAGCTTGTCACTGTTGTTCCTTGTTTGTGTTACATTGTGACTTGTTGAACTTGCAACCATTGCTCCATGTTTGTGTTATATCTAACTTGTTGAAAAACTTGTCCGGATCAACATCCTCCCAACTGTTCAGTATTTTAAAAGTTTAGATGAGATCCGCCCTGTCATGACTGGTTTGCAGTGTCGTAAGCCCCAAGGCCCTCAACCGTTCCTGGTATAAGAGATGACTTACTTCTGGAATGATTTTTGGTGCCTGGTGTTGAATTTTTCCAAAGCACCTATGTCCTTCTGAAAATGAGATCTCCATGCTTGTATACAGTAATCCAGGTGGAGGCACACCAGGGATTTATACAGTTAATAACTATCTTCTTTTCCTTAATAGCTTAGCAGCCCAAAGGTTTAAGTCAAAGGTACACTTGAGTGTACCTTTGGGTTTGATTAGTATTTTCACTGCACTCCCACTTGTTGTGCAACTTTCAGTGAATGATGGATGCTGACTCCAATAGATCTCTATACAAAATTATCTGTTTGGTCAAGAGCACAGTATAATAAGTGTATAGTAGAGTATAACTTTATGCAATACCCGTATAACCTTAAGTATATCCTCCCTTGCACTACTTAAGGATAAGTGTATATCCTTAAGTAAGGCACAGTGCTGCGCTGGCCTACTTGCCCTTGTTGGTAGTGATGAAGTGTAGCATGTTTACACTTTTGATTGGTTAATAGGCACATCCAGAGATCCCACCATTAGCAGGGGGGAAAGCTTACATTTCTTTTAACTGGATAGATTCTGTCATAGAACGCAGTCAAGTCATTTATATCGCCATGCTGAGCTGCAAAATACCTTATGGAACTTATATATTAAGCTTGCTTGACTGTACGGAACCTACTAGATGCTTGGGAAGCAATCGTCCTCTCAAATTGTACATCAAATTTTGACGTATAAATCCCCTAAGGCCAATAACTAATGCACTAAAAATCATAACAGCTCGCAAAATTGGCATGAAGTAGAATTTTTAATTCATAAGCGCTTGATTAGGTTACGTTTGGGCAATTTAATACATTAGTTTATTGACATGAATTAGTCAGTAGCCACATTAATCTGACATAATAATAACAATATTTTATTTATAATATTATATGTAAAGATGTATAGCTTTTAAGATAGATAGATAGATAGATATATATATATATATATATATATATATATATATATATATATATATATATATATATATATATATATATATATATATATATATATATATATATATATATATATATATATATATATATATATATATATATATATATATATATATATATATATATATATATGTCGTACCTAGTAGCCAGAACGCACTTATCAGCCTACAATGCAAGGCCCGATTTGCCTAATAAGCCAAGTTTTCATGAATTAATTGTTTTTCGACTACCTAACCTACCTAACCTAACCTAACCTAACCTAACTTTTTCGTAACCTAACCTAACCTATAAAGATAGGTTAGGTTAGGTAGGGTTGGTTAGGTTTGGTCATATATCTACGTTAATTTTAACTCCAATAAAAAAAAATTGACCTCATACATTATGAAATGGGTAGCTTTATCATTTCATAAGAAAAAAATTACAGAAAATATATTAATTCAGGAAAACTTGGCTTATTAGGCAAATCGGGCCCTGCAAAGTAGGCCGAGAAGTGCGTTCTGGCTACTAGGTACGACATATATATATATATATATATATGTCGTACCTAGTAGCCAGAACGCACTTCTCAGCCTACTATGCAAGGCCAAATTTGCCTATTAAGCCAAGTTTTCATGAATTATTTGTTTCTCGACTACCTAACCTACCTAACCTAACCTAACCTAACTTTTTCGGCTACCTAACCTAACCTAACCTATAAAGATAGGTTAGGTTAGGTTAGGTAGGGTTGGTTAGGTTCAGTCATATATCTACCTTAATTTTAACTCCAATAAAAAAAAATTGACCTCATTCATAATGAAATGGGTAGCTTCATCATTTCATAAGAAAAAACTTAGAGAAAATATATTAATTCAGGAAAACTTGGCTTATTAGGCAAATCGGGCCATGAATAGTAGGCTGAGAAGTGAGTTCTGGCTACTAGGTACGACATATATATATATATATATAATATTTATATATATATATATATATAATATTTATATATATATACACACACACACACACACACACTTATACTGTATACTGTTAGATGATAAACCCCATCACTTAATGTAATGTAATGCCACTTTCTGGCGGGAGCTCGGTTGCTCCCTGTAGCTTGCTACTCTGGGCAGCTCCGGAACCTGATGCACATGGAGCTGAACAGAATGGCTAGCTACAGGGATCCACTGAGTGATCCTGGTAGGTGTGATCCTTGCCACCTGCCCTCCTGCTACCCACCTTAGCATCCAGAGTGAAACGATGGTAAATACCCGCTGGCAAAATTAGCAAGTCGCCGGCTATGACCTCAATCCTGATCCACTTGTCTTCTTTGTCCCGTACATCAAAGTACCCGGAACCCTCGGTGACGAACCTGATCTCCTCATCTACGTGGATATGCTCTTCGAAGAATGTTTTGATCTGAGAAGCAGCACAACAGAAGGTCAGAGGTGCATGAACACGACACAAAGATAAACACATTAAAAACACATTTCCAAAATACAAGTTAATGCACTGAGTTACAAACATTTTACACATCTTGAAGTACACTCTTGGAATCACCAAAATGGGAAAAATACAATATATAAAAATACCAAAAATGAATGTAATGAAATGCCTCTTCATGGCTGGACCTCAATTGCTCCCAGAAGCTGGCCACACTGATGTGTGGCCAGCTTAAGGGAGCAATTGATGACACTGATGTAGCGCCACACATGTGAGACTCATGAGGCTTAGGAGTCATGAATGGCCTATTAGGGACCAGAGCCAGGACCAGACCCCCCCCCTCACAGTGGTACAGGGAGCACCAGATTGTTATCGTCACCCTCACCACAGGAACAACCCAGATAGGATGTGAAGCAACACAGGCAATTGCAAGGTTCACAGAAAGAAAAGAAATGACTTCACAAATGACTTCACAAATGATTCACTCAATAGTTAGCTCCAATCCTCCTAGTCACAACTGGTCACCGCTGGGCAGCACTGCTGGCAGCTCCTAGCTCCCACAACAACACACTCCAGTCTGGAGTTGATAAGAAGCACTACAGTAACTGATGAATGGCGAGGAGAAACCAGGGAGCCACTAGAAGGCTCAACCAAAAAGAGGTGCTTTATTACATTCAACACTGATTTTCTGGAGGGGCCAAACAGTGGCTCACACAAGCTCGCCAAAGAGTAGAAGGGGAAAATGGAACTTAACATGGAAGGAGGAGTGAAAAAACTAGGCAAACTTGACCTAGAGCCACACAAGCTTGATGAGGACTAGGGACATCAGTGGGGTAACAAACCACAGGGACCCGACAGAAGGTAACAGCTCAATTCTCTCTGGCATCGACATGGCAAGGATGATCCCTGGAAAAGGCTGAGCTTCACCCACAGCAAGTGCATACCTTAAAACATCTGCAAGCCCAGAGCAAGGAGAGGGGTGTGCAACAGTCTATATGACCATGCCAGATGGAAGGAAGAGCCACAATGGAACAAAGGAAGAAGAAGCAGTGACCATAGCACCAGTAGAAACAACAGCCTTAACTCTAAAACACTCCAAAGATCATAATTGGCCTATTCCCGAGTAACCACTCAAGCAACAAGCCACAACACAAACATGGCAAACAAACCTAAAGTATCAGCAGCCTGTCGAGCCACGGTACAACAAACCCTGAGAAATACAAATCGAAAGACAGAGGCTGCAACTAAAATAAAGGACTAGTGAAAACAGACGTCACAGGCCTCGGGGTAGAGGGTAATACCGACACAACAGAACACACAGATACGTACTGTACAAAAGATCATCGGTTTGTAACAAAACTGATGGACATCCTTCAAGCTCACAAGTTTGAGCCTGGCCTCAGGCCAGGCTCGGGAGTAGAAGAACTCCCAGAACCCTCTCCCGGTGTCTCCAGGTAAGTAAGGGCTTACTTATGAGTGAGGGCTTATAAGTAGAAGGCTTGGCAGATTGAACCATGATGAGCCACACCAAAGACCCGCAGAGCTTGCCGGGCCCTGAAGGTAAAGACAAACGGGACTCCTGGACACTAGAAACACTCACAACAAGAACCAAAACAAAATGCAGCTCTCTAAGGATAAATAGTTCGCAATATGGGAACCCTACTTCATTAGCAGCCCATTCAAATAATGAGACCTTAATCCATTACAAATTTAATGTTGTCGTTATGACCTTAATGCATTATCACCTAAACTGGGAGATAGAAACCATACCTAATTATCACTTAAACTGGACGAAGGGAATTTTATCCATTACGTACCAGTTTCCATCTTAGACTAAGGATATTCATTCCACCCATCCCAACACACCAATATTCCCGGCTCTGCCCCTTGTATTAAAAAGTAAATGATGACCATCCACATGCACCCTCTCTTTGTATCGCAGGACGGATACTGACCTTCTCCTCATAATTATGGAGTTTTTCCGGAGACACTTGGATGACGTCCATGTACGAGTAGCCTCTTTCCGTTTTAATCTTGTTCAGCTTCCCCTCGGACTCGTAATTTTTAGGATCCAGCTGAAACCCACAACATTCCTTTTATTTTTTTACTAATTTTTGGTGCAAAGACAGATACAATAATCTTGATATACTTTAAGTTTTGTTTGGCATAAGCAGGAACACAGAAGGCAAGATGCACATTGTAAATTTCAAGGACTAATACAAATACAGGTGTGAGACAAACTGGTTCAGGTTTAGTGAGAGAAATTCTCACTTGACCATCTTGGCCCAACATCATGCTAGAGTCATTCAGTAGATCAAATGGCAAGACAATATAGCATCTTCACTCAAAATATTCTTTCAGAACAACAGTTAGATCAAATAACACAGTTTTTACTGCTTTCAAAGACAGCATTACTATAGTTTTGTGTTTGCATGCCTATACATTTCATTATAGTTTCAATTAGGTGATCTAATATGTTCAACAAGTAGGTTAGGTTTAGCAAGTAGGATAAGGTTGTTTAGGTCTATTCTGAGGCCACTAATCACCGGTCCAGGCTACAAGACAAGCAAGGTCCGCTTCAAAATAAAGAGTGGACAGAGAGGACACCCATATGTGGCACGCATGATGCAGGTATGGGTGAAACCTGCCCTCTGACGCCACGCAGGTGAGGGTAAACCTGCCCTCTGACGCCACGCAGGTGAGGGTAAACCTGCCCCCCTTACACCATCAGGTAAGGGTAAACCTGCCCCCTGACACCACACAGGTAAGGGTGAACCTGCCTGACACCATGCAGGTAAGGGTGAACCTGCCCCCCTGACACCATGCAGGTAAGGGTAAACCTGCCCCCTGACACCATGCAGGTAAGGGTAAACCTGCCCCCTAACACCATGCAGGTAAGGGTAAACCTGCCCCCTGACACCACACAGGTAAGGGTAAACCTACCCCCTGACACCAACAAGGAGAATGTGAGACAAAAGTTATACCCATCATGATACATAAGCTACACATGTCATCACATGACCCTGCTACCTTCAACCAATCAATATAGTGCTATGCCATACTGCCCAACTCTTCAGAGACAAACACAAAGGTCATAAAAAAATCTAGAACAGGTCACCTTCAAAGCACAGGAACCTCAGACTTCAAACATGACAAAATCCCTACTGCTGGAACTTGCCCAAAATATTAAATAATACTATTTTGTCTTTACAAAACTATACTTTTATACAATAATTCATAAAACTCATTTATAGCTATCCAATAGATATACAGTCACTGTACACAACAAAGTTGTAACAAAACTCTTATACATTCATTTTGTCGGGAACTGGAAGCCTGTATATGTATATATTTGTATCGAGGTCCCTTCCCCCCACCTCAAGATCGAACTACTAACTCTCCCCAGGATGCAGCCCCACAACTGTTGCCTAACTACCCGATGCCTATTTATTTTTAGAAGCAGATGTGTGCATGGGAATTTTGACTTATGATATACCCAGGAGCACCAAAAAGCATCATGTACACCACCAGTCAAGCACCTACGCACCTTAAGGCACTACGTGTAGTGGTTAAGTGAATGGAAACGTGCCCAACCATTTCTGTTCCACCTAGGAATCAAACCCGGGATCCCCGATCGTGAGTTGAGAACAAAGCCAACTGTACTACGAGACCTTATACTGTATTCAATATTACAAACAAATATACAGTACAATAAGATACAAAAGTATCAAACACTGCACAAGAGTTACCATAAATACAATAACCAAAACTGTTGACTTATGGAACAGATTACCAGGTAATATAATGGATGTGGGATCATTCGCGAGTTTCAAGCATAGTTCGACATATATATACGAGTGAATTTGGTGGTGTGGATATAGATAAGAGCCACTTTTAATCCTACTTTTTTTATGTTGATAATAGTTTCCTTGGTACTACCTTCCAGTACATTACTCCCGTGTCCTTGTAGAGGTCATCCAGAGAGACGAACTTTGGGGGAGACTGTTGGTGTTCCATCCTCTGGTCCTCGTTGCTCTCGTCCATGTACCATGCTCGCACCATCTTTCTCAATCCTGATATCAATTAAATAAAGTACAATAATGAGCTGTGGTGAAAGTATCACATCTGTATCGTTGTGTGTACCTGTACAGATATCAATTGAAAGTCATTGTCTCTGCTATATTTAGCAAGTTAAGAAATGCACACTGGTGTTATTAGCAATGTTTTTGCATCAACAAAGATCAGCACGATTTTGTATATGCTGTACTGCACTGTATTGCCAACTAAGTCTGATACAGTATTATACATTTTGTATCACCTAAACAATACAAGTCATTCTGAGCAGCACTGTCAGCTGATAGTACTGTGCAGAGATGTCAGCTAATAATAAAATGCAGAGCTGTACTCATCTAGTTGTGCTTGCGGGGGTTGGGCTTGGGATTTTTGGTCCCGCCTATGTCAGTTACTCATACTGTGCAGAGTTGTCAGCTGATATACATGTGCATAACTATCAGCTAATAATACTGTGTATTGCTGTCAGCTAATGATACTGTGCAGTGCTGTCAGTTAATAATACTGAACATAACTGTATACTAATAATACTGTGCTTTACCTCTAAGTAAAGACATCACATTAACTCTTCCATCTCAATAGCTCATGCAGTTTGAATTAGTTTCTATCTCAATAATAATTTGTGAAAAACCCTAATAATAGGCATACAACAGTATTACGTGCCAGGTCTCGGATCACCGATCGGACCGTATATATTATTTATTTATTTTTTATTTATTTATATACAAGAATTCTTACTTTCTTGTACAGCCCCTAGCACGCATAGCTTTTCGGGAATATCCTTAATCCTAATACTCCCCGGAATAAAACCTGCCAAATCGTTTAACAACCTGGGACACATTTTACTGTTAGGTAAACAGAGGCTACAGTTAAGAATTGGCGTCCAGTAAATCCTGCCCGGCCAGGATACGAACCCAGGCCAAAGTGCTTGCGAAACACCAGGCGAGTGTCTTACCACTTCGACACGGGACTGCTAAATAGAAGTTTTTACGCTCTAGGCAGAAATAAGCTTCAAAATCCAGCTCCAAAATACAGACCAAGACGTCACACCAGCGACGCATGCAAGACGTACACACATATACACAGCAATACTGTACCCATATATTTTACTTTACTTTACGGAATGTTTGGGTGTAGGTCACAGTGTATATTCCACACCAGAGCACCATAGACTAGACACGACGAACACACATCCAGGAAGTCCTACGCTCTTCAGATAACATAAAGTAAGATGTTTGGTCAGAAAGCTAAGGAAGACTGCGTTTTACTGGCAAAAGACGTCACTGAAGACGATTACATCTCTCCACCTCAGTCCAGGTTCAGTAACTCTCTGGCTGGTAAAAATATACAGACCAATCTGGATAAACCTAAATGCAGATCAATCAAAATATTAACAATTCCTCAATTTGCCGTCATTAGTGAGTCTAATGATGTTTGTGTCGGAAACAATCGTAAATACCCACTAAATTCCTGCTCCGTTTAGCATGTTAACTAACTGCCTAAAAACCCTGTGAGTGAAAATAAAATCATTATATCAACACCTTCATTAACCGTTAGCCATGTTTTCCTAATATACGAGGCAGAAACCTCCAAAAAAGCTTCAAAAAGTGCCAATATTTACCCGGGATCTGGAGGTCGTGAGCTTGTTGTTGTTTACAATCATCAGCTGATCCGAAGGTTCTTTCCCGGGAATTTCGTTTGTTTTTCAAAGAGCTACAATGACGAATATATATATACAGTATATATATACATATACAGTATATATTTTTTGTTCTATTTTATTTATATATACACGCGTTTTTACATTCTTGTAAAGGTGCCAGCAAGTCACTAGCACAGTGGTTTGTTTGCTTGCAATACCAGTTGATTGACAGTTGAGAGGTGGGACCAAAGAGCTAGAGTTCCACCCCCAAGCACAACTAGGTGAGTACAGTTAAGAACATAAGAACAAAGGTAACTGCAGAAGGCCTATTGGCCCATACGAGGCAGCTCCTATCTATAATCACCCAATCCCACTCACAAACATGTCCAACCTGCGCTTGAAACAATCGAGAGACCCCACCTCCACCACGTTACGCGGTAATTGGTTCCACAAATCAACAACCCTGTTACTGAACCAGTATTTACCCAAGTCTTTCCTAAATCTAAACTTATCCAATTTATACCCATTGTTTCGTGTTCTGTCTTGTGTTGATACTTTTAATACCCTATTAATATCCCCTTTGTTATGTCCATTCATCCACTTGTAAACCTCTATCATGTCACCACTAACTCTTCGCCTTTCCAGTGAATGCAAGAATTGGCGCCCAGTCAAACATCACAATGGCGCAGTGGTAAGACATTTGTCCGGCGCTTCGCGAGCGCTTTGGCCAGAGTTCGTAACTGGCCGGGAAGGATTGACTGGGCGCCAATCCTTAACTGTAGCCTCTGTTCACCTAGCAATAAATGGGTACCTGGTTGTTAAACGATTTGGCGGGTCGTATTCCTGGGAATATTAGGATTAAGGACCTGCCGGAGTGAACGTCTAGAAGAGGGGGACGTCTGGTGAGCTTGGTATTGTGTTACCTTCCACAATAAAGCATCAGAGAAGGAATCTAAGAGTATTCTATAAACTCCCAAGTAAGAGCCTTCACCATCGCTCCGACCAACAAGAAACACTGATTGAGGTTTGACACTTTGACTTGGAGTGTAAGCGTCCGCCGCCATTGTCAACAACAACAACTGGTGATCTTCCAGACACGAGCATTAAGGGAAACCCTTGACACAAACTGCACTTATCACAAAGAAGAAGCACCACCATTGACCACCAAGTGCTCATATCAAGTCTAATTCTAAGAAACAACACTCAAGGCTTCCCTAACCCTCAACATTGACGCCCTAACGTGAAGCGTCTGCCAGTTTCCACTCGTTCTGTCATCCGGAGGAGAAAACCTTCACACAAACTCTACCTACCTTGTGATGTTTTCGGGCCTCAACGTCCTCGCGGCCCGGTCCTCGACCAGGCCTCCTTTTTGTTACACATCCCCAGGAAGCAGCCCGTAGCAGCTGTCTAACTCCCAGGGGACTATTTACTGCTAGGTGAACAGGGGCATCAGGGTGAAAGAAACTCTGCCCATTTGTTTCTGCCATCGCTGGGGATCGAACCCAGACCCATAGGACTACGAATCCCGAGCGCTGTCCACTTAACCGTCAGGCCCCCTCCTTTTTGTTACACATCGCCTATCATAAAAAAGATGAAAACTCACCCGTGTCCAGAGTGTGGGAAGGTATTCAATCACCTGGGACATATGAAGACTCACATGGTAATACATTCAGGTGAGAAACCACACGAGTGTCCAGTGTGTGGGAAGAGGTTCAGTCGGCGTCAAAGTATAAAGACTCACATGTTAGTGCATTCGGGTGACAAACCTCACGAGTGTCCAGAGTGTGGGAAGAGGTTCAGTATGCTTGAAAGTATGAAGATTCACACGTTAGTGCATTCTGGTGACAAACCTCATGAGTGTCCAGAGTGTGGGAAGAGGTTCAGTCAGCGTCAAAATATGAAGTCTCACATGTTAGTGCATTCGGAAGAGCGACGGTTTGAGTGTACCGAGTGTGGCAAAAAATTTAGAGAACGTGGAACCATAACGAAACACATGTCAGTGCATTCAGGTGACAAACCTCACGAATGTTCAGAGTGCGGGAAGAGGTTCAGTTGGCGTCAAAGTATGAAGTCTCACATGTTGGTGCATTCAGATGCACGACCTTTTGAGTGTGCAGAGTGTGGTAAAAAATTTAGAGAACGTGGGTGCATAACAAAACATATGATGGTGCATTCGGGTGACAAACCTCACGAGTGCCCAGAGTGTGGGAACAGATTCACTCGGCGTCAAAGTATGAAGACTCACATGCTAGTGCATTCAGGTGAACAACCTTTTCAGTGTGCTGAGTGTGGCAGAAGATTTCGAGTACGAGGATCTATAACGAAACACATGTTAGTGCATTCGGGTGACAAACCTCATGAGTGTCCAGACTGTGGGAAGAAGTTCAGTCAATTTGGAAATATGAAAACTCACAGGAAGTTGCATAGAGGTAACATACTAAAAATGTTGAAAGGGGTAAAAGATTCAGAAAATGTTTAAATATAATACGACACATTTCCATTATTCCTATATACAGTTTGGAAATTGTCAGCTTTATTTTGACAATATCGTGCTGTCACGTTGTAAGTGGGATGTCCATCAAAGGTGTTTTTGTTTTATTTTCTGTGTGAGAAATACACTTCACAGTTGAAGGAAAATTCTGCAGCATAATGTATTGTAATATTTTGTTCTCTTTTGGGAGTTAGATATTCATCCTAGACCAAGCAAGCCTATTCATAATTATATAGACCATTTAAATACCCAAAACCACCCAAAGGTACCCAATGCTACCCAAAGCCTCCTAGCATTACATTTATAATGAAGAAGTTTGCTGGTATATGAGCCTCCTGTACACAGTGATCTTATTGTCGCACTTCTCTGCTCAAATTGTTGCAAATCGAATTGTGATATTAACTTGTAGAATGCATATTTACAATAATATTTAATAATGCATCTTCAGACGGATGATCCTTCTGAAGATGTATTATTAAATACGAAAGTACTTAAGGAAATTCCTGTTTCAATTCTTCCTTCATGGTCTGACACTGTCACATTTTTCATAACGTGTTAATTTTCGTGATTTACACACATTTACACTAATATTTAGCATAAATAGCCTCAAACCATTAAAGTTTTATTAAAAAAATGTCTGGAAGTTAAATCAACCCCATAAGACAATGGCATGTTATATAAATGTTGAGTGTTTATTTATTTATTTATTTATTTATTTATATTAAAATATTACTTAATCATGTAGAAAAAGGCTGGAAAAAATTATGAGGCAGCAGTTTAAGACAATTTTATTTATGAATACAAAAATAAAGTAAAATTAAATGAGGTATTAAAAGTAAAAAGTAAAAAAAAATAGTCATATGGGTCTGTCTCTATTAGAAATATATTTAATGCGACTTCTTTATGTAGTACCAACACATTGTATTAAGTCCAGAAAATTAAAATGGCTAAATTAAGTTGAGCATATATATCCAGCCCGTCCTCCCAAGGTTTCGCAACATCAAGAAAATTGCAAATTTATAGTGTCCTAACCTACCAGAGGACCCAAAACAGAAAACGGGACAGTACGTCACTTTCGCCAACCGCTTCCATTTTTCTAGTACGACAATTTTTGGCCTTATGTAACGCCTACGAGCGAAAAGCGACGTTCTTGTGAGAGGACAGGTTGATACAAAGTACAGTATCAGTATTTCAGGTCCCATGTCCCGTCTGACCATCGTGGGAAGGGTGGTTGAAGTCCCAATATATATTTTATTTGTTTACTTAAAGTTCAAATGTTTCGGTCGTGTGGTTGTGGGAAAAATCAGTATTGTCTCATTTTAAGAGTTTCAGAAATGGACAATTTTTGCCATGAGAACTATTGATATTGGGAGATGTACTAATAACCCTTGCAACTACCGCCCACAAGATGGGTATGGGGTGCATAATAAATAAACTAAACTAACTACTGATAAATTTTGTGAACTCGTCTATAATGGGTGGAGAGAATAGCAATTTACTACTATTACTATTTACAAGTAAATTGATATTTACTAATATTACTATTCACCATTGTAAAAACTGCCAGATTCACCATTGTAAATAAAACTGCGAGGTTCACCATTGTAAAAACTGCGAGGTTCACCATTGTAAAAAAACTGCGAGGTTCACCATTGTAAATAAAACTGCGATGTTCACCATTGTAAATAAAACTGCGAGGTTCACCATTGTAAAAAAACTGCGAGGTTCACCATTAGAACAGCTCCATTCAACAGTGAAGACGTGACTGAAATTAACAATAGACTCATGACTGCGCAGATTAAGGCGTTTATAGGAGTGAAAATTCGCAACGGTTCGAGAGAGAGGAGTAAACAAAATATATTAGTCATCCCAGAAACCTTAGAAACTGCCTATTGAAGGGTGACTCCTGTATATTTTTGTTATGAGTTAATGTTGGGCTCTGTGAGGTATTTACCTATTACTACTTTCCTATCTGTGTCTGTGGGGAAGTGAGGTCTACCTTTTTATAATCCTTCCCACTACCCATGTTGTGACTGTTACATTGTATTTTAACTATTATTTGTGGAATCTGGATTTGAGAGGTGTGGATAGAGGTGGCTTCCACACCTTCTCCTTTAAGTGCATTCGTTCCATAACGACCCATGGAGCACTCAGCTGTGTGTGTATGTAGACACCTATAGGTAATGGGTGGTTATGTAAATAAGTAGATTATATGGTGGTGCAGTGCTAAGGCAGTCGATAGACAATAGATGGGACCTGAGTTTGCATCCCCAAGCAGGAGAGATACCTTTGGTCACATCTCTCTCTCTGGAAGAAATTTAAGAGCCTCATAATGTCTTACTATCTTAAAGTTATCTCATTTGGTGTGAGCAGAGTGAGAATCACTGGAGATGGCAGGTGTTGCAATGTTCAACCACCCGCCTGCCTGCAATTTGGTGACTTTTCAATTTATGGTGTATGGATTACTTTTCCTGATATGTCTCTCTCTCTCTCTCTCTCTCACTCTCTCTCTCTCTCTCTCTCTCTCTCTCTCTCTCTCTCTCTCTCTCTCTCTCTCTCTCTCTCTCTCTCTCTCTCTCTCTCTCTCTCTCTCT